TTGGCCCCATTTTTTTAGATTGCCTCTTTTTGTTTCTTGTTGCAGCTGCTAGTAAGTGAGTGAAGGGCAGTCTGCCCAATGGGGCACAGAGAGCGATTCTAAATCTTCAAGGTTTGCACTATTAAAAAAAAAAGTTTTGGACTTCCTTTAACGGCTTCTGCTCCTCCCTATAGAAGAAATACTGCTAGAGGGCGCCACAGGTGCGCAAAACACCTATATATATATGTGATTTTGCAGTTCTGGGTAGGGGGGGCCCGACCCACGCCACCATTCGTGGCCTCGGCTGTCAATCACTGGGTCCCAGCCCGTGATTCCCCACCGGCACCCGGCGATCTCCGGGCATTACCAACAGAGGGAGAGAGCTGTGTGTGAGCAATACAGATCTCCCCTGTCAGCTCCTGCACACTGCTTTGTATGGCTCTGCAGAGCCATACAAAGCAGTGTGTTTACAGTGGAAAGCACAGACACAGCACACAGTTAACCCTTTGATCACCCCAGATGTTAACCCCTTCCTGCCCAGTGCCAATAGTACAGTGTCAGCGTTTTTTACTAGCACTGATCACTGTATTGGTGTCACTGGGGATGTCAGTGACACCAAGTCAGTCCCCCCCCAGTGTCAGAATGCCCACCGCAGTCCCGCTATAAGTCGCTGATATCTGCCATTACTAGTAGAAAAAAAAGCTCACACTCCGCCCCCTAGTAAAACACTCACAGCACACAGTTAACCCTTTGATCGCCCCACATGTTAACCCCTTCCTGCCCAGTGCCATTAGTACAGTGTCAGTGCTTTTTGTTAGCACCAATCACTGTATTGGTGTCACGGGGGATGTCAGTGACACCAAGTCAGTTCCCCCCCCCCCCCAGTGTCAGAATGCCCACCGCAGTCCCGCTATAAGTCGCTGATCGCTGCCATTAGTAGTATTTAAAAAAATAAAACCTAAACCCGGCATATATACCGCCATTTGTAGACGCTAAGATTTTAACGTAAACCAATTAATTTACACGTATTGGGTTTTTTTTTTTTTTAGCAAAGACACGCCTTTCTGCCCAGTGCCATTAGTACAGTGTCAGTGCTTTTTATTAGCAGTGATCACTGTATTGGTGTCACTGGGGATGTCAGTGACACCAAGTCAGTCCCCCCCCAGTGTCAGAATGTCCACCGCAGTCCCGCTATAAGTCGCTGATCTCCGCTATTAGTAGTAAAAAAAAAGCACCCCCCCAGTAAAACACCCCAGCACACAGTTAACCCTTTGATCGCCCCACGTTAACCCCTTCCTGCCCAGTGCCATTAGTAGTGTCAGCGCTTTTTATTAGCACTGATCACTTTATTGGTGTCACTGGGGATGTCAGTGACACCAAGTCAGTTCCCGCCCCCAGTGTCAGGATGCCCTCTGCAGTCCCGCTATAAGTCGCTGATCTCCGCCATTACTAGTAAAAAAAAAGCACACACCCCCTAGTGAAACACTCCCAGCACACAGTTAACCCTTTGATCGCCCCACGTTAACCCCTTGCTGCCCAGTGCCATTAGTACAGTGTCAGTGCTTTTTATTAGCAGTGATCACTGTATTGGTGTCACTGGGGATGTCAGTGACACCAAGTCAGTCCCCCCCCAGTGTCAGCAGAATGTCCACCGCAGTCCCGCTATAAGTCGCTGATCTCCGCCATTAGTAGTAAAAAAAAGCACCCCCCCCCCCAGTAAAACACCCCAGCACACAGTTAACCCTTTGATCGCCCCACGTTAACCCCTTGCTGCCCAGTGCCATTAGTACAGTGTCAGCGCTTTTTATTGGCAGTGATCATTGTATTGGTGTCACTGGGGATGTCAGTGACACCAAGTCAGTCCCCCCCAATGTCAGAATGCCCGCCGCAGTCCCGCTATAAGTCGCCGATCGCCATTACTAATATTAAAAAAATAAAACCCCGGCATATATACCGCCATTTGTAGACGCTAAGATTTTCACGTAAACCAATTAATTTACAGGTATTGGGGTTTTTTGGTTTTTTTTTAGCCAAGACACGGAGCGGAATACATTTAGGACGAAATTTCATATTTTTACTGGACATGTTTTATAGCAAAAAGTCAAAAATATTGTTTTTTTTTTTCCAAAATTGGTCTTTTTTGTTTATTGCGCCCAAAAAAATAAAACCCGCAACAGGCGATCAAATACCGCCGAAAGAAAGCTCCATTCGTGGGGAAAAAAAGAACGTAAATGTCATTTGGGTGCGGCATCGCACAGCTGCGCAATTGTCAGAGTAACACGGCGGCGTAACACGAAAAATGGCCCGGTCAAGAAGGGGGGGGGGATCCTCTGGAGGGCGAGGGGTTAACTGAGACTCAAAGCGTGAAAGAGACAGATGATGTCATAGACCACCACAGGCTCTCAAATGGTGTAATGGGGGGGGGAGGGGGCTGAGACCCCAGAAATGAGTCTTTTCTGTAGAAGAAAAGAATTCCTTCGCTGATGTTCCCTGGACGCCGCGGTAACGATGGCGGCCCGTTTTGCGCAATCAAAAGGTAAATTCGTGTTATTTCACCCCGGAGCCGCAGGAATTGGTCAGGTGACGTCCCCACGCTATGAGATTACCACCAAATTAACAATCCACCTGACCCCTCCGCCGCGGTGACAAGTGGAGGATTCCCGGGCGCGGCGGATCTAAGAATAGCTACAAAGGAGCCACACGAAGAGGAATCCTTCCACAATCTGACTTCTGATGAGTGTCTGAGCCAAGGTTTTACCCTTTGTAATTTAATCAAGCTGTTTCATGTCTGCCCCCCCCCCCCCCCCCCCACCCCGCTCCTACTGGCAAATCCGCTGACCTGCAGCGCCACCTCATGGGGAAGATGAGGAATCACCCTCCTGTAATGGAAGATCGGTGGTAGGATGGAGGAAAAAAAAAGACAAAATAACTGATTACAAGAAAACCAAAATGTATCTCTTCTGAAAGAACAGTTAATCCAGACGCAGGGGTGGGCAACCTGCGGCTCTCTAGCTGTTGTGGAACTACATTTCCCATGAGGCTTTGCAAAGATTACAAAACTGACAGTTAAAGCCAGGCGCAGACTGGGAACTCATGGGGCCCCCCCGGGCAAAAGGGGATCATGGGGCCCCTGTGTCCTTGCCCAAACTCAAAAAAAAAGCCTATGAAAAAGGTACCAGGGGCATCTCATGGGGCCCCCTACTGACCCCAGGTCCTCAATAGGGGATCATGGGGCCCCTGTGTCCTTGCCCAAACTCAAAAAAAAGCCTATGAAAAAGGTACCAGGGGCATCTCATGGGGCCCCCTACTGACCCCAGGTCCTCAATAGGGGATCATGGGGCCCCTGTGTCCTTGCCCAAACTCAAAAAAAAGCCTATGAGAAAGATACCAGGGGCATCTCATGGGGCCCCCTACTGACCCCAGGTCCTCAATAGGGGATCATGGGGCCCCTGTGCCCTTGCCCAAACTCAAAAAAAAAAGCCTATGAGAAAGATACCAGGGGCATCTCATGGGGCCCCCTACTGACCCCGGGCCCTCGGGCAGTGCCCCAGTTTCTAAATGATTAGTCCGCCCCTGGTTACAGCTATGACTTGCAGAGGCATGATGGAACTTGTAGTCCTGCAGCTCTCAGGTTGCCCACCCCTGATCCAGAGGAAGGCGAGACAAGCCAATAAACAGGGTAACATGGAAAACCTCGGGTGCCTTAACCCTTTCACTGCCAGAGCTGCTTTTACATTTTTTTTTTTTAATTTTGCACACGTGTTTAAAGCATACATTCACCTTTCGACCAAAAATAAAAAATGCTAATTTTTTTTGCAAGTAAAAAAAAAATATATATATATATATTTATTGGTTTTGGCTGCAGGAGGCTGTAAACCAGGGGATAGGCAACCTTATGCCTAGGTTCACACCCATGCAGGTTGCGTTTGAGCCATTTCTGCATTGCGTTTTGCTCTTGTGCTTTGGACGCGTTTCGCGTTTTTTTTGATGCATTTTGCTTTTTTATTTTTTTTTTTGCTTGTTGCTAGGCAGATTTAAAATGCAGCAATAACGCAATACATGCTTTTCTGCAGCATTCCCATTGAGGTCTATAGAAACAAAAACGCAACTTTTTGCGTTCAAAAAAGTCCCTGAGCCCGGGTTCACACTGATGCGGTGCGGACGTTTTGCATTCAAACAAGTCCCTGAGCCCGGGTTCACACTGATGCGGTGCGGAATTTTTGTGTTCAAAAAAAGTCCCTGAGCCCGGGTTCACACTGATGCGGTGCAGAATTTTTGCGTTCAAAAAAGTCCCTGAGCCCGGGTTCACACTGATGCGGTGCGGAATTTTTGCGTTCAAAAAAAGTCTCTGAGCCCGGGTTCACACTGATGCGGTGCGGACGTTTTGCGTTCAAACAAGTCCCTGAGCCCGGGTTCACACTGATGCGGTGCGGAATTTTTGCGTTCAAAAAAGTCCCTGAGCCCGGGTTCACACTGATGCGGGGTGCGGAATTTTTGCGTTCAAAAAAAGTCCCTGAGCCCGGGTTCACACTGATGCGGTGCGGAATTTTTGCGTTCAAAAAAGTCCCTGAGCCCGGGTTCACCCTGATGCGGTGCGGAATTTTTGCGTTCAAAAAAGTCCCTGAGCCCGGGTTCACCCTGATGCGGTGCGGAATTTTTGCGTTCAAAAAAGTCCCTGAGCCCGGGTTCACACTGATGCGGTGCGGACGTTTTGCATTCAAACAAGTCCCTGAGCCCGGGTTCACACTGATGCGGTGCGGAATTTTTGCGTTCAAAAAAAGTCCCTGAGCCCGGGGTCACACTGATGCGGTGCAGAATTTTTGCTTTCAAAAAAGTCCCTGAGCCCGGGTTCACCCTGATGCGGTGCGGAATTTTTGCGTTCAAAAAAGTCTCTGAGCCCGGGTTCACACTGATGCAGTGCGGACGTTTTGCATTCAAACAAGTCCCTGAGCCCGGGTTCACCCTGATGCGGTGCGGAATTTTTGCGTTCAAAAAAAGTCCCTGAGCCCGGGTTCACACTGATGCGGTGCGGAATTCACACCGGTTTCTGTGCGTTCGCCGCAGCGCATTGTAATCGCACCCCGTTCATACTATTCACTGCGGGTGTGTATTTTAAGTTCACGACACCCCGAAATCAGTTTGCAAAACGCAGTGCGATGTGCAGAATCAGATCGCATGGGCGTGAACAGCCGTGCGATCTGATTCTGGTGGTGACTAAAAAAGGGTCCTGCAATTTTTTGGTGCGGACGCGGTGCGCTTTGAGTCATACAAAATGTACGGCTCAAATTGCACCGCACAGAATTCGCATGTGATTTGCACGGGAATGCGGTGTACATTCCTGTGCGAACCACATGCAACGTGCCGCACCGCATCAGTGTGAACCCGGGCTGATCCTTTCCAAAAAACGCACCTGGTGAAAATGCGGAGATGTGAACCTGTCCCATAGAAAGTCATGTTAAATGGACTGCAAAACACAACGGAAAACGCTTCGGTGAGAACTTGGGGTAAAGAGGTGGAGATGTACCTGAGCAACATGGGAGAAGTCAAAGATCAGGAGCGCAGTGTCGCCTCCTCCTTAAACCTTTAATTGCCGTACTACCGTGTCGCAGTCATGTGCATTGCATGGCAATCATGGGAATCACATTCCTCTGCGAATCACATGCAATTTGTGTGCGGTGCGATCGGAGCCGTACATTTTGTATGGCTCTAATTGCACCACACCAAAAACAGAACCTTTTTTTTGATCCTCACTAGAATCGGATCACATGGGTATTCACACCCATGCGATCCGATTCTGCACATTGCGCCGCGTTTTGCGGACCGCTTTCTGGGTGTCGTTAACTTAACCCCTTCACGCCTGAGGGTAAAACAAATCGAAATGCCTTGGCAGAATTTTGCAACGTTGACCCGTGTTAGTAAAACCGTCCGTATCGTCTCAACTACTTTGTACATCCGGGGGAATTATACCGCATTTTTTTTTTTCAGGACAAATCGGGCTTTCATTTGGTGGTAAATAGTAATGGATATCTCCTGATTTTTTTTATTATCAAAGGAAAACTGGCCCAAAATAGTAAAAAAAAAAAAAAATTTGTTTATTTAGCTGTGTTTGTTACTACCATAACCTACCACCAAAGAACAACCCAAAATACATTCTCCAGCTCTTGACAAACGCAGCGATACCATATATGTGCATGTTATTTGTTGTTTGTACCCGGAGTACAGCCCAGAAACAAGAGTGCGCATTTTGTTTTTGTCTTTTTTTTTTTTTTTACCTAAAACACATCCTGACCTTTGACCCTGACCTTTTGACCTTGACCTTGACCTAAACAATACCCCTGGCACTGAACTGGATCAAACCTTCATCTAGGTATTTTTTTCTCCCTTTTTTTTTTTTTTCTCTCTATGCCAGGAGTTCGAGAGATACAATGTATAATAGGATGTATATAATGATACAATGTATAATAGGATGTATATAATGATACAATGTATAATAGGATGTATATAATGATACAATGTATAATAGGATGTATATAATGATACAATGTATAATGGAATGTATATAATGATACAATGTATCATATGATGTATATAATGATACTATGTATAATAGAATGCATATAATGATACAATGTATAATAGGATGTATATAATGATACAATGTATAATGGAATGTGTATAATGATACAATGTATAATAGAATGTGTATAATGATACAATGTATAATAGGATGTATATAATGATACAATGTATAATGGAATGTATACAATGATACTATGTATAATAGAATGTATATAATGATACAATGTATAATGGAATGTATATAATGATACTATGTATAATAGGATGTATATAATGATACAATGTATAATATGATGTATATAATGATACAATGTATAATAGGATGTATATAATGATACAATGTATGATAGAATGCATATAATGATACAATGTACAATGGGATGTATATAATGATACAATGTATAATGGAATGTATATAATGATACAATGTATAATGGGATGTGTATAACGATACAATGTATAATAGGATGTATATAATGATACAATGTATAATAGGATGTATATAATGATACAATGTATAATAGGATGTATATAATGATACAATGTATAATGGAATGTATATAATGATACAATGTATAATAGGATGTATATAATGATACAATGTATAATGGAATGTATATAATGATACAATGTATAATAGGATGTATATAATGATACAATGTATAATGGAATGTATATAATAATGATACAATGTATAATAGGATGTATATAATGATACTATGTATAATGGAATGTATATAATGATACAATGTATAATAGGATGTATATAATGATACTATGTATAATAGGATGTATATAATGATACAATGTATAATAGGATGTATATAATGATACAATGTATAATTAAATGTATATAATGATACAATGTATAATAGAATGCATATAATGATACAATGTACAATGGGATGTATATAATGATACAATGTATAATGGGATGTGTATAACGATACAATGTATAATAGGCTGTATATAATGATATGCATAAAAGTAGCCACCCGCCCAAGTCTATAACTGGCTTATGAAGCAAGGACACATAATGTTATAGACTTGGGCGGGTGGCCACTGTTATGCATGTTTTTGAGTTTTTGGTACGTGGGTGCACTAGGGCCCTGGTTGCCATTGTGCTACATGCTGGGGTCCAGTGCGCTCCTTTGCCTTTAAGAGGGGTGGCTCCCTCAGGTCCACCTGCCCATGATCTATCCATTAAATGCATGTGCCTCTACTATGGGGACTCACAAATTTTAGAGTTAGGACCACAGATGACCAGGGTGCCGTGTCGTGGCTCTGTGGCTTACGTATGTATTTGCAAATGTGTGCTAACTAAACCCCTGTTATAAACGCATACTGTTAGACAGGTTAATTCGGTTGTTAGCAAGCTGGCTGGCAAGTTGTCCAAGAACATTGTTCTCTCCCTTTATTCACTGTATATAATGATACAATGTATAATGGAATGTATATAATAATACAATGTATAATAGAATGTATATAATGATACAATGTATATTAGAATGTATATAATGATACAATGTATAATAGGATGTATATAACGACACAATGTATAATAGAATGTATATAACGACACAATGTATAATAGGATGTATATAATGCTACAATGTATAATATTATGTATATAATGATACAATGTATAATAGGATGTATATAATGATACAATGTATAATAGGATGTATATAACGACACAATGTATAATAGGATGTATATAATGCTACAATGTATAATATTATGTATATAATGATACAATGTATAATGGAATGTATATAATAATACAATGTATAATAGAATGTATATAATGCTACAATGTATAATATTATGTATATAATGATACAATGTATAATAGAATGTATATAATGATACGATGTATAATAGAATGTATATAATGATACAATGTATAATAGAGTGTATATAATGATACAATGTATAATAGAATGTATATAATGATACGATGTATAATGGGATGTATATAACGATACAATGTATAATAGGATGTATATAATGATACGATGTATATAATGATACAATGTATAATGGAATGTATATAACGATACAATGTATAATATGTATATAATGATACAATGTATAATGGAATGTATATAATGATACAATGTATAATAGGATGTATATAACGACACAATGTATAATAGGATGTATATAAAGATGCAATGTATAATAGGATGTATATAACGACACAATGTATAATAGGATGTATATAATGCTACAATGTATAATATTATGTATATAATGATACAATGTATAATGGAATGTATATAATAATACAATGTATAATAGAATGTATATAATGCTACAATGTATAATATCATGTATATAATGATACAATGTATAATAGAATGTATATAATGATACGATGTATAATAGAATGTATATAATGATACAATGTATAATAGAGTGTATATAATGATACAATGTATAATAGAATGTATATAATGATACGATGTATAATGGGATGTATATAACGATACAATGTATAATAGGATGTATATAATGATACAATGTATAATAGGATGTATATAATGATACAATGTATAATGGATGTATATAATGATACAATGTATAATGGGATGTATATAATGATACAATGTATAATGGAATGTATATAACGATACAATGTATAATATGTATATAATGATACAATGTATAATGGAATGTATATAATGATACAATGTATAATAGGATGTATATAATGATACAATGTATAATGGATGTATATAATGATACAATGTATAATAGGATGTATATAAGGATACAATGTATAATAGGATGTATATAAGGATACAATGTATAATGGAATGTATATAATGATACCATGTATAATAGGATGTACAGTGAGGAACAGACGTATTTGAACCCCCTGTTATTTTGCAAGTTCTCCAACTTAGAAATCATGGAGGGTCTGACATTCACATTGCAGGTGCATTCCCACTCTGAGAGACAGAATTCAAAAAAAGATTCAGGAAATCCCATTGTATGATTTATAAAGTAATTGAACACCTAAGAAGCAGCAAGAATTCTGGCTCCCAAAGACCTGTTACTGCACCTTTAAAAAGTCCACCTCTACTCCACTCATTAATCTAACTTATTAGCACCTGTCTGAGCTCTTTAAAGACATCTGTCCACCCCACAGTCAGTCAAACGCCAACTACTACCATGGGCAAGACCAAAGAGCTGTCAAAGGACACCAGAGACAAAATTGTGGACCTCCACAAGGCTGGAAAGGGCTACGGGGCAATTGCCAAGCAGCTTGGTGAAAATAGATCAACTGTTGGAGCAATTGTTAGAAAATGGAAGAGGCTAAAGACGACTGTCAGTCTCCCTCGGACTGGGGCTCCATGCAAGATCTCACCTCGTGGGGTATCACTGATGATAAGAAAGGTGAGCCCAGAGCTACAAGGGAGGAGCTGGCCAATGACATGAAGAGAGCTGGGACCTCAGTTTCAAAGGTCACTGTCAGTAGAACACTACGCCGTCATGGTTTCCAATCATACATTGCACGGAAGGTTCCCCTGCTCAAGTCATCACATGTCCAGGCCCGTCTGAGGTTTGCCAATGACCATCTGGATGATCCAGAGGAGGCATGGGAGAAAGTCATGTGGTGTCAGGGCTCCGGCTATGACTAGAGGTGTGTGGA